TATGAGGCTTTCATCGTCCCCCTACTAGACAACATCTTCGACACAGATTTCGATATAAAATGAACTCATTTGAATTCTTCATGAATGTGGTATAATTGTGTCTCCTGGCTACCATCTTTGTGACTGGTAGTTGATTTACATCACTATTGATCATATTTTTATTGACTTGGAATTTGAACTTTCTTGTTATGGGATTTACTTTTTATTAGCTGGTTAATTTGGTCCATATCAGTATGTTTGTTAATCGCTGGCTGATTCACTTGAGTAATGATCGGGCTTCTAAAAATTTCCTGGCAGTAGTTTTGGTGTTTTCTCTACTTAAAATTTCTGCATTATCCCAATCACAAATTAGTGTCCATAATTATCTACATGCATTGGCAACTTTCTTAATGTCGTAACCTATATACTACTTAGAAGTATTTTCCAAGTAGCATGTATTGAAATACAAGTAATCAGTTCTTAGTAATAGATTAATTTGCTATAAAGCAGGCATTTTATTTATTTTTATTTTGCTAATACTCGATTTGTAACTTTGAATTAAATATATCAGTTTCTAGAGGTTTACTAGTCTAACGGAAATATAGGTAGTGTGTAATGATGATACAAATACAAAAAAAACCATCTACATGTTTGAATTTCTTCCAAGTAGCTTAATGGTATATGAACCTGCCTTGTAACCTTAAGGCGTTGAGTTCTATCCCTGGTAGAGTTGTGAGTAAATGCTGCTGAAGAATCCGAAACAAGGAAAGAACAGTTGTCGAGTACTTCATGGTTTTCAATGATTCTTTAATTCTGAAGTCATTTCATGAATACTGATGAGATACTTTATTGTAACAGCCTTCTGCCTTATATCTAGAAAGTAGAGAATAATGGTTCTTTATGTTTCAATAAACGAGCCTAAAGGTTTTGAAGTTGGATTTAGAAGTATTGAACTTTTGAGAATTAGATTGTATTGCATACGTGATTTATAGGAGTAAACTGTTTAATTATCGATCTTCTGGGCATTTAAGTAAATACGATTAATCGTATTTAGCTAGTTTATTGTCACTAGTTGCTATATAACTAATAATTGTATATCATTTGTTGATCCTTATGCTTCACTGGTTCAGTGACCACATACGTGGTCTAGGCTGCGATTCCCGGCCGACGGACTCCTAAGACTCACTTAGCCGGAGGATTAAGCATGAAGCTAGCAGCCCCATTCCGTAATCCACAGTACCAAGCCTACTAAAACTTCAAGGTCCCCTAATCCTGAAGCCCTATGTTCCACTCGGAACTCAAAGGAACGAAATATGAAATGTATTTATTCATCCTTGTGTGAAATCAGCAACTAATGCCCATTAAAAATCATTTGAAGTAGGAACATTTTCTTAAGCTAATCCCTGTGTGTGAAATCTATGGAATATGCTTTTATGGAGAAATCTTGTGTTCTGAAATGTTGTAATTTTTTAACTTTATTAGTTATGCTTTAGGATTCATATAAGAGTGTGCATTATTATTATTGTATTCCGTTTATTTCGATATCTTCAGTATATATATATATATATATATATATATATATATATATATATATATATATATATATATATATATGTATATATATATATATGATAGAAGCTGAGTTTTTGGCGGTATATTTGCTTTTTGGCTAGGAGGTAGAGGATTTTAATTATCTGCCTTTATTATTATTATATTCCTTTATGTTCCCAGTGGAATATAGGGCTTGAAGCTAGCGCTTTAAGCTTTCAGTAGCAGTGATGTTTATTTTTACAGGATTGAGTTGTTCATGCCCAATGTTCCTTCTTTACCAGTGTTATTATACTGGCTTAACGAGTTAAAGGAGTGTTCCGGCTGAGAGTCGAACCCCGGACCACATGTATAGTTGGCGAGCATTCTACTTCTGATATGATATAGAATTTGCATCCTTCAAGGCTTATTTTTAATGAAAGTTATGCATGTGTGCCACTCATAACTTTCGAACAGTAACGAATCACGTTTAGATATTTTGTAATATTTTATTCAGGATAACTTTAAATTATTATCCTAGGTACAATTTGTTAATTTTTGAATTACTTTATTTTGGTGTGAATGATGCTAAATATGTATACATTTTAACTTACGTTTGTAAATCATCCCAACACAAGGGGAACAGAATTATTTTGATAGATTTATGCTTGTATTGTGAGAATAACTTCTTATGGGGTAATTTTTCATCTGTCCATTGGTACTGATCAGTGTTTTGTAGGATGTATCCGCTTAAAGAATTGATGAATATCAACAAATGTCAGGGATGTCCAACTACTTATGCCAACTAATAAGTAGTATATATCGGTTGAGATGAATTTCTTTTCTACATGCGTGGTTAATTAAAGGCTGAAATTTGGCAATTATCATTCGATATAACTGATTTTACATGTCACCTGGTTGCTCATTTACTGAATTCCACAGAGATCACATTGTGTTACCCAGAATAAATATCCTATATGTATAAAAGCTTAAGACGAATTTATAGGTCATATAGCATTTGTTTATTTCTCAGTCATTAGTTCGAGTCCCGCTACGAAGTAGATTTTGTCACAAAATAAGCCTTCTGGTTTACACACCATATACTCACACTAGTACTGAACAACCACTTGAATTGCCATGCTAATGATCCTGCCTGCTAATGATCCATACACCTGTTGTGCGAGAGCTGACTTTCCATACCTTGATAGACGAAATGTGGTTTGAACCAGTGAGTCACGTCTCCACTCTCCTAGTTTAAGACTACCTTAGATAATCTAATCAATCAATAAATTCCGCTTATCCCGTGTAAACTTAGACAGTCTTTCCGAAATTTCGTTGCCTTTATTTCATTGTCTGATTAGATTATGATTCTGTCTATAAATTCTTTTACTTAATGTGAAAATAGCGATCTCCTGGTTGAATGAATGTGGGGCTAACAGCTGATCATTTTTATCTGACAAATGAAAACGCTTCAATCAACTAATGCTCTATTGAAGTGAAGAGAACTGAAGTATTTAGTCGGTTTTCAAGTATCTTATTTTGTACACTTTCTGAAATATTAAATACTATATATAAATACAAACGCATAAAAGTTGTATGTGTAATGCTGCATGATAACACCTCCTAGTAGAGACCTCTGTTACTAATCTATCAGTAGTTTTAATTTATTTGCCTTAGAATATAACTGAGGGGCTTAAAAGTATGAATTGATACATACTTTAACAATTTCCAGAGATGAATTTTAAATATTAAAAAAAGTCAAGCAGTCAACACGAATGATATTAAATGTTTGGAGGCAATCGGCAGGTAGCTTCCGGCCTAGGTTTCGTGCTAGTTAGCACTCACCGGTTAGCAAGGCAGGCGTATATGCAACCCTGAAGGAACCCATGTCTCTTCTGAGACTCGAACCCGCATCACCCAGTGCTGCAATCAGAGACATTACCACGACTCGCAATTGACCTCCTGTTGGACTGTAGTGTGAATACGTTGATGGCAAGCTACGTAGAACGGTGGCTACAATGCGAAACTGACTGATAGAATTCAGTCTGCACCAAAGATAAAACTAAACACATCACACTAGTTACTTGTGTCCAATGAAATTAGTCAACATGAATGCTCTGTAGTTGTATGATATGTCACCAAGCAACAAATCAAAATACAACCTGCAAATATTGGTTTGCAGAGATTTGATGGATTTCAGGATTGATCACGGACTGACTACAGTCGAGGAACCATTTGAAAGCAGGATGAAGTCTCCTGAATTCCCAGTAGAGTCTACCATGTTGGCTGTAAGGACAAACACCCACTGATAACATTGACTGGCAATCGCAACATATTTTTTATTTATTTTGGATTACAGGTTGATTCCACACTGTATTTTTGATACAAGTATGGAATTTTCAGCATGGATGTCGATAACCTAAATTTTGCAGACCGACCATAGATATCAGGTGTGTGTTGGCAGGGGATCGAACCTCGGACCATGTGCATGGTCGGTGAGAGTCCTAACCACTGTGCCACCGACGCACATATAAATATGTCGCAAACTCGCAGAAGTAAGAATCCATGGGCTTTTGGATCCCGTCCCCATAGCTGAATCGCAAATAAGTTCACCTGGCAACCTGAAGATCCTGAATAAATGCTACTGAAGAGTCCCAAACTATATACTCCCCGGTCTTCCGGTGATTGTCTAACTAAAGTCAGTCCGTGATGAATCTTGGAAGTGGAGTAAATCCTAAATTTTTTATTTTCATTGTTGTCTTCTCAGTCAGCTAGGTTTCACTTGCAAAATCAGAGTACAAACTTTAACAGTAAAAACATTTTCAATGAAGTTTCTTTTCCGGAATATCCTCATCTCAGTAAGGTGAATAGAAATAAACACATGATTTATATGATGACTTTTATTTCAAAGGAACTACTAAACAGACTAAATGTTTAGTGCAACTGACCTTTCTGAAATTGCAGAGAGTAAAATTGTGATTGGATGGATGGATCGGTACACTTATTGGTGCATTTAAAAAAATTGTTTTTCGTAAACACTTGAGCATTTACAATGACATAACTTGTTTTCATAAGTCGATACCTTCCAGTACTGCAAAAGAGAAAGCCAAAATATTAAAATCTACTCAGATACCCGGGTGACTGAATCGACCATATCATTCAATGGCAAAGCTAGTAATTTCAGAGTTGAGTAGTTCAGATTTCAATCTTGTATGGAAATCTGAGTTTATTGATAGTTGATTGTAAACTTTGGAAATGAGTGCTGATAATCACTACACAGTCGACTGAAACCTTACATCATATTTCACAGCCGCTAAAGATTGATTTTTACTTCGCTAAACGTTGTTTTTATGGTGGTGAATCAATTTGAAATTCAACATATATATATTTCTGAAATTTTTCTGGTCATTACACCAGTGATTATAAGCGACCGGTAATCATTTGAAAGTTGATTAGTTCTAATCTATCTCTTTTTAATTTTTGTCTAAAAATAGAAATCCCATTATATCACGTGTTGAATGCATGTGTTTCATTTGGTAATCTACATGGACAAGATAACAGTGTTTATGGTGTCTCCGTAGTACCTACTGGTGGTAGTAATTCTAGTCAACAAACATCAGATTCACAGAAGAAAACAGATGTCTCCAGTACTGTTAAGTCGTCGTCGTCAGCAGCAGCATCATCATCTGATGATCCTGGTAATCAACCATTACTTGATTCATCTACAGAGTCTGGATCATCATCACAACCGGTGAAATGTGTCATTGATGAAAGTGTATTCGATGTTGGCAAAGGATATCATGTCATAGGTGAGTTAGTTATAATGAAAAGAAAATAAACAAATAAATAAAAAAGAAGCCTTGTTTTATTGATCGATTACTGCCTTCTCTCTACTTTTATTTTAAAGCAAATTATTTTGTTTATTTCTCGTGTACATTTTGAGATATCATTAAACTGCATATTGATTATATACAGATTTATTTTTCAACAGTGTCTACAGGTGAGCCATCCACTTTTTTTCTTTCTTGATGTTTTACATATAACTCATCAACACAAAGAATAACCAAATATTTCGTATCTAAAAATAACACTTCTGATTTCTAATATTCAAAAGGTAGATTTCATTATGAATTGTTGTCCGCTAGGTAAATGGTTTTTGTAAAAACAATCCATGATCAACTTGTCAAAACAAATTATGAAGATGTATTTTATTTATTTATGATGGAGAAAATTTGTAGCTCAGGTGAATGATTTTCATGTAGTTGTGTTCTCTGAACTGGACGGTTTATTTGCGAAGCTTTCATTACTGCCTAACTAAGCAACATCTTCAGCGCATACTTAAATTTATTGAAGTCAGCTTTCAGATTTCTTTATGAGTTTATTAGGTATATCTCTTGGTGAATGACATTGAAAGTGATTGGTTGTTTTTGTGTGTTTTCACAACCTCTAGGCTACTTGTATTGGAAATGATTGTTTCCTTGATCTGAAGTTTAACCCTCAGTGTGTGAGATTTCCGTTTTATCGATTGGTAAATTTTGTCTATGTCAATGTGTCTATTGATTGACGATTCATTGGAATACCAGGCTTCCAAAAATTCCCTGGCATTCTTGGTGTTTCCTCTGTCTAATATTTGAATTTTAGTTGTCCCAGTCGAATTGGTGTCCGTCGTTGTCTGAATGTAGTGATATGAGCGAGGGAGTGGATGTCATGTCTTTTGACGGCTAGTTTATGATCATGGATACGAAGATGAAGAGGACGTCTTTTTTCGCCAATATAGTGTTTTTCACAGTTGTTACAATTTATTTTGTAGACGATGTTAGTTTTATCTTCTTTCGTTGTTGAGTCTTTCGGTTGACATAGAATTGAGTGCAGCGACTTTGTTGGTCTGTGTGTGACGTCAATTCCTTAAGGTTTGAATAGTCTTGCAGCGATTTCTGAGATGTTCTTTATATATGATAAGGCGATTTTCTTTGGGTCTTTGATTTGGTAGGTTAGCTTGGGTGTATATGTCTTTTGATGAAGGTTTGTGCATATCCATTCTTTTGGAAGACGTCCATGAGATGTCTTTCTTCAATTTTGCTTAAGATGGGAGTGCTGCAATGAGTCCCGGCCCTCCTGAATAGTGACTGTATACAACTCTTTTTGTGTGTTATTGGATTGTTACTGTTGCAATTGATTATTTGGTCCGTGTGTTGATTTTATGTAAACTACATTGGTCAAAGTGGACATCCCCTTCCACTTCGTATCCATGATCATATACTAGCCGTCAAAAGACATGACATCCACTCCCTTATTTCGCCTCACTGCATACAGACAACCATGAACATCAATTCGACTGGGACAATGTTGAAATAATAGACAGGAAACACCAAGAATGTTAAAGAATTTTTAGAAGCCTGCTATTCCAGCAAATCGTTAGTTAGTAAATAGTGACATAGACTAAATTTACCAATTGAGAAGAAGGAAGTCTGACACACACACAGAGTCAAAGTTCAGGTCAAGGAAACAATCAACACCGATATCACATACAAGTAGCCTAGAGGATGTGAAAACACACAAAAACAACTAATCACGCTCAAGGTCACCCACCAGGAGAGATGACTAATAAACTCGTGGAGAAATCCAAAAGCTGACTTCAACAAATTGAAGTATGCACTGAAGATGTTACCTAGTGATGAAAGCTTCACAAATAAACTATCCAGTTAAGAGAACACAACTAAATCAAGTTATTGAATGAGTGAGCATATTTCTATATATTCGTGGCTGAACATACTGTTGACTCGTTACAAACTAAGCTGAAATAATGAATCCAATCACTCCTGCTTGATTTCCATTGGTTTTCATTCAGTTGACGTCTTTTCGTAATAAAATCTGCCTCAGATGCCATCCTCAGTAAGCAAACATTTTTACACAGAAATAAAAATTACAGGAATACAAGAAGTTTCCCTTGAACATATATATATATATATATATATAACGTGTCATTTTGAAATTCCTTTTATGTGTGAATTTAATATAATGTATACGGTTTGACTGAAAACTTAACAGCGTTTCATACGCATCATTTAATGCTGCTTTCATACTTATGCAGTAACAACTCTATTGTAACTGACTAATCGCCTGTTATTGCCCTTTTATAGTTGTTATTATTATTATTATTGTTATAATTTAATAATAGATAGGTAGTGTATCCTTAGTAATTATCTATACAAGAGTATATTCAACTGTGGTGTAAGTGGAATGAATATTTGTTTATCACTTTTCTAGCTAGTCTTATGCTTTTTATTCAATTCATCGACTATAGTAAATATAATCTCTGACTATTTGCTTGTTAACACTTAATATCTCGTGTATTTTTTTCTGCTGTAACACCTTTTTTCTTCATTAACTCTAATAAAATCCTCCACATCATTGGTTACAATCTTTTCTCTTGTAATAATTAATTAATTAATTAATCAATCGAGGGTATTTCCATTCTCCATCAGGAAGTTGTAATTAAACCTCATAATATAATAGTGTTGCGTCACTGATTTTTAAGAAGCCATTTAGTTTAACTGTGAGGATGCTAACTACATTATTTAATTACTTCATACATATATTCCCCTTTATGAACTTGAATAAAGCGAGAACAACAGGGATTTGTACAGAATAATAATGATATTATATTATTATTATCATTGTTCCCTTCGGTTCCTAGTGGAGCATAGGGCTTCAACTGCACGTCTCCACTTGCTTTTGTCTTGCTTCTGCTGTACTTTTCACCTGCATCCATGTTAGTCCCTACTGTTTCATCTCCTCTTCACACGATCTCCTCCATGTCACCCTTGCACCGACGACCCACTCGCCGCTTCCCTTTCGGCCTGGTTCCACTCGAGCAATGGCCTGACGCGCGCGCGATGTCACCCAGCGGCCTCCCTCTCAGCGAGTGTCCAATCCATCTCCACTTTCTCCTGCATATTTGTTGGGCGGTTGGTTCTTGTTTTAATAATAATAATAATAATGCTATCATTTATTTCGTTGACTTTTTATCAGCTCCCGATAACCTAAGTAAATTATTGAGTTTATGTGCACAAACGTTTTGACATATTAGCAAATTTTACGTGATGTCAGTTGACAGGAGATCCCAAATTCAGTGAACAGTGCTCAGGAAATTACGCTTATATAGTTTTACACAAGGAGTTCAAGTTTAAAACAAAGGAAATGTATGCATACCATGGTAAGGGAGTTACGTAATAAAGACGAAAGATGTGTAATATGATGAGTAACTAATAAATTAGGCAACAATGGTAGTGAATTCAACTCAAATCCTAGAAACAAGAGACAAGCAAAATTACACTATATCAAAGCGGTGGAGTGAAAGGCAAAGGTAACGTAAGCAAATGAAGGAGTCAAGGCAAGGAAGAACTGAGAACTGCTTCTTTTTGAACATATAAATTAGGTTTCAGGCGTTTGAAAGAGGTTGCTTCGGCAAACTTGAGAACTATTTGAATTATTTCTCCTATTGATAATTTTAAAGGAATTTGTTATCTTAACCTCATGATCCGTATCAAGGAGATGCCTGGTAATGGCACTATTGTAAGCGTTTGTTCCCTTGAAACGTTGACTTTTCGGTACATTTTTAAAAAATGAGAGGTGTGCGTTTCTTTCTGTTCTCCCAATGTAACCGCTTCCACAGATACACGTAAATTTGTATACACTGTCGGGGTAACATGTGAAAGGTGGGTATCCGTCGACTTTTGACTGCCTCGGAGAGCACGTCAATAATGAATTGTAAGTGAATTCCATTCAATATCCCAAACATAAATCAATAAAAATATCTTTAACTCTATGAAATATGATTTCAGATAAAGTGGACAGGTGTTTCTGTAAGAAATGTAAGTATTGATTTTCTGCTTTCGCATAAATGCTAAAAACTGGTCAAATCTTTCTGCAAGTCTTCTCTTCACAGAAGCAAGTTTTTCGTCGGTTTCCTCATTGTTGGTATTAATGACGCATACAGACGCAGAAATAGAGGAGGGCACTTGTCAATCAAATGTTGTTAGAATGTGCTTTTTTTACAATTTTTTGCTCTTTGTAAATATTCTTACTTCACTTAATTACAGTCATTGTTAAAATACAATCCTTCTTTCAGTTGAAAATTCTCCAGGACATTATGGAGCTTTATATGATGAAGAACAAATGGTTCAAATGGCGGTGCAGCGTAGCTTAGTGGAGTATGGATCAGCTGAGAATTTAATTCAAAGAGGTTATTCATTGGTAGGTTCATTTCACTTCATTATATATAAATACAATAACTGAAGTATTTAGGTTGTCAGTAGAACCAATCCTACTTATCCCTGCCTCCTGCGAGACAAGACTAGCATGCAGTATCACCGTGTGGCGCAACCACTCGAGAGCGCTGTCCCTCTGCGTGCGTTCGTGGTTTATCGGTAGAACGCTCGTCAATCACGCCTCATGTGATCCGAGGTCCGATTCTCGGACGACGCACTCCTAAGTCTCGCTGAGCCGGCAGTAAGTCTGGTAACGAGGGAAGGTTGTGAGTGAAGTTAGCAACCCCACCCCGTAAAAATAAACACTACTGCTACTGAAACTAGCTTGAAGCCCCCCATGTTCCACTGGGAACGCAAAGGAATAAAATAAATCTGTTCGTTTATCATTATATTGGCTGTCCGTTTAGATCTTCTTATCTCATTTTTCGTCATGTTACATTTGATAAAGAAAAGAAAGATGTTCATTAATGAACATGACAACAAAGTTTTATAAAATTCACACACACACACACACGCGTACTGGTAGCATAAATAAAAGGCAGTAGTAGAATTTATGTAATGAGAACAGGTGACAAAAGGAGACATAATAGACAAAAGTTCAGTTAGAAAATGTTGAAATACAATGATCTACGTTGACTACAGAAAATATTAATTGTTGATTAAACAGTATTCAGCTTTTTAATTGTCATTTTGGTTTATTTTCATTAATCAGAGTCTCATCGTGAAAGAATGAAGAAAAAATTGTTTAAATGTGATGAATTCTTTTTTCTTTGAAGGAAATTCTGTTAACATTGTAACCTGTAATTATTTCATTGTATAAAATGCAGACTTCTTTGTCTTAGATATGATCATAAGGGGACTTCAGTCAGAGGACTAAGGAGTACTGGATATCTGTTTCTCTCTAGTTTTGGGACTCTTCGAAATTGCACAGCCATTACCCCACGAGTAGTCAAATCTGGGATCTTCAGGTTATAAGGCGAACTCGTTGACCATTCAGCCACTGCAATGGAATCCAATGATCCATGGATTCTAAATAATCTGATAGTTGGCGATATGTAGCGGCACCACCAGCCAAAAGTGTCAAAAAGCACCTGAATGATCAGAGAACTTGCTTTGTAACCTGAACGTCTTGAGTCCGATCTCACGTGGAGTCATGAGTGTGTACTGATGAAGTGTCTCAAACTAGGGCGAAACAACTGCCCAGTACTCGCTGGTCCTCAATGGTTCTCTAACACTGAAGTCAGTTCTTTCTCAAACTTGAAATCCAATTAGATCCATGCCAACTAACACATCTTTGTCTTAATCAGTAAAGTAAGTCAATCGCATTTATCTGGTAAACATCCCAGGATTCATAGGAATCGCTTTTTATGGCAATTCACAATCTGTTTAAAAGTTTACTAGTGAGATACCATTTGTTTACAATGGGATTACTCTAAACCAGCATGAAATTAATACAAATCATATTTATCAAATTAATTTAAAGTTGGTTGGGGGTGCTTCAGGGTATGAAAGATAAGATATAGAATCTTCGTAATTCTTACTCTTTCACAAAGATGTATCATCAAACTCTTATTTGTTCTATCCGATAATGTCAAGTTTTCGAAAAGAGAAACTACCAAGATGAATTACAGTCACATAAATTGAAGAAAAGACTACTCAAATTTTGAAGAAAATAAATAATATGTAGAGTATTTATCCGACTATTATTTTGAGTATCTTTGACGGCCTAGTTTTTGCAATATCTCAGCTCTTTTCTTCAATCAAATATGCCCCCAGAAATGTTTACATCATATTAGCCTTCAGCTATGAAATATAACTGTCTCCCTTCTCTTTATGGAAAAATGAATTACTGAAAATTTTTCACTCTCATGAAACCACCTGGTGTACCTCTGGGAGACACGGGTTCGATTCCCAGCTAACATATAGCTGGTATTAAGCCTGGTAAAAACGGGAAGGTTGGCCGAGAGACTAGCAACCCGAATTCCCATGAATAACACTACCGCTACTGAAACTCCAAAGCTTACGAACCCCCTTGTTCCACTCAGAACTCATAGGAATGAAAAAAATATATAAAACCAAACCACTTGAACACTTCTCATTTCAATATTGTACGACTTTTTCAATTCAGAAAATGATTCCTCCGGAGTAGAATCATAATCCTTTACTTTTCTATGTACGATTTATGAGAAATTTTAAAAAAGAGACATTAAAAATTTCCGTCCAACTTCACTTAGATTTTGAAAGTAACCACTGTTGTTTTTTTTTCGTCTATTATTTTCGCAATATAATAATTTTTTTATCATTTTGTTTTCGTTTAAATAAGACACTTCATAAATCACAAATTATTATTTCAAAGGAGTGCTTTTCTTTTCTCTTTGTATTTTTCTGTTTACTTTCCATGCTTCATTAAGTCTAAACGTAGCATAATTGAAACACGAGCGGATGAATACGTTGAACCAGAAGAAGCTTGGCTACAACAGTAGGTTTTTTTTATTTGCCTCTACTTGTCTGCCTAGTTTTTGTTGATGTTTTTTTTCTTTTTTTTGGCTGTTTCTTTTTCGTTCAATGCCTGTTATAATAACTTCAAGTAATTGCATCTGATTGGTTAATTGTTAACAAAACACATCTAAACGTTTAGACCTTTCGGTGTTGTTTATCAAAATTCAAAGATTGAAAATTTTAAAAAAAAACGGGGAGTAAATTATTAAGAGAGAATGAAAAGGAATGTAGCAGTTGTAATAGTAGCAGCAACATTGAAGTAGACTAACATTTTTTTAAAGAATTGATAGTAGTATTAGGGGATGAATAACCTATCATTGTTAGCCTAGAGATCATGTTTGATATGCATACACTGACATGATAATCTGATTGGATAGTTTTTGATTGGTTTATTTATGGCTTAAATTTCCGAGGATTTTGGAAACTATATATGTGGTGAGAGCAGCCTGCTAGCCAATTGGTTGACATTAATCTACGTCAATGTCTAGGTAACTAATATGGGCTGTGAGAAAATATGAACAAGGCTGTAACAACAATTAATCACAGCAAACTTAAACGCGGGCAAAAATGATTCGCAGATAGATGGCTCCACTTTCCGAGGAACTCGAAAACAAACAATCAGAAGACTGCGTTTCTCTACTTGACTAGGCTATAATAATGTATGTGAAATTTATATAAATACGTGTTGATTTCTGTAATAAAACGATCTATTGCCTGGCCCTTGTCTTCTCTTGTTACATATATATACTCTGTATTTTGAACAATAAAACGTTGTCGCTGTTGTTGTAGGTGACTTTTGTGTTTCCATCTCAATGTAGGCGAATATTTTCAAGTTGGTAATAGTGTCGTCGTATCTGGAGACACATTCTAGTCAAGTTTGACGACAACTTAAAGTCAGTCACAGATGGTTTTGTAATTCTTCAGCACCGCTCTTGCTGTATAGACAGTTTTTTTCTTGTAAACGTTGGTGTATTGTTGTGTCCTTTATTAAAGAGTAATTATTTCCCTTGAACTATATATACATGCCTCACAACTTTGGTAAGGAAACCGTTTCGGAAGACTAAAATATTTTAACTAAATATTTTCAGTCTTACTAAGGCTCTACATTTTTCTATTGATATAAGTATAAAACTAGGGCACTATGGTAGAGTATAACTCCATTATGCATAAGATTTTTATTTTAATAAATCACACAGTGTTGTACAGTAATATTAACTGATGATCATGTTTCGAGCACAAACTATTGCTCATGATCATATCAAGTCACTCACACAACTGTTTTTCTTCATTTATATACATGTGTCGAATTGACTAGATATTTGAATAAAAATCAATATGAGATACAGTACATTCAGAAATAATAATACGAGTGTTATTGATTAATTACAATTAGATGAGAAATAAGACGAGTGTTTTTATAGTCATAATAAGTTACTTGTTAGAATGTTGTGATGTGTTTCAATTGAAATAGAATTTTAAGATAATTTATTATCCTCCTCTGCATATGACCAGCGGTAATAATATCTTCCATATTTCTGGTATTTGCATTGAGTCATTTCTGTTGCGTGTGTTGGGTGTAGACTCGATGAACAAAGATTCCATAATCAACCTCTCTCCACCTACACAGATCACTTTTTAGAATTTTAACCCTCTCCCACCCTATTGTGTGGTTGTTTGTTAATGCTTGAAGTGCAATAGCTGAGCTTTTTCCTAAATTACTTATCTTTTCAGGGTCAACCATTCTTCCTTTAGCTAAATTCTTATGTTCTGATAATCTGACTATCCCTGACCTACTAGTTTGACCTATGTAGTTGACCTCACAGTTATTGCAGTTTTATTTTATGGTTGACCAGAACTTCTTTTAACAGTTATGTGAAGTCACAAAATGCCGAAACGACAGCAAAACGACAATTATTTGTGATTGAATCTAAGGGACTATAGTATAGTTTGATAATATTGGTTCTTCTAGCTTCAGAGTTGTTTATCTTAGTTCATGTGTGAAAAATTAGTTACTTTTTGACGGCTTTGAAGAATTATGCCCTTTCCCTGTCTGTATTATTATGAGATTTCGACAGATTAATCCAGCTATCTAGAGTCAAAGTATCAATTAGCTGATTCTCTTCCTCATAGGAGTAAATCTATAAACCCCGTGGTTAAGATATTAAATTCCCTAAGGAATCATACATAAAAGCCTTTTTTCTTTTCGTCTTCTCATAGCTTGAAGGGAAAAACTGACCATTTCTGTTCATTTATTGATTGGTTGATTTATTACTAATTTCACCAAGAATAAAACCTTCCGGCTAAATTTCACTTGTTTTCTCTATAAAAGTTCAACGAAAATCTCTGTCTATGGTGCTTCAGTGATAGGATGTTTGCCAGGTACTCAGGTGGATCTGGTTCGATTCTCAGCTGATGCATTCTTAACCGTCGCGTAATTTTCCAGATGACAAGTATAAGCCTGGTAAGTGGAGCAGGTTGAGCGTTAGACCAACACCCCTGCACCCCATGTGGTGGAAACAACGCTCCTATTGGAAATTCAAGTCATATGTTCCACTCGGATCTCAATGGAATGGAAAATAGAAAACTGATAACCTTACGGAGGAAAGGAAACAAAAAAATAAGAGAGGAATATTTTGATTCGACACTAGTAACTAGTGTGATGTGTCTAGTCCCTTCTTTGGTGAAGACTGAATTCTATCAGTCAGGTTGTTATGTGGCCACCATTCTAGGTAGCTTGCCATCACGGTGCACATTGATTTGATGATATTAGATGGTTGGAGGTAATCGGGAGGAAGCCCCCGACCTAGGTTTCGTGCTAGTTGGCAATAGTCAGCAAGGCATATCTGCAACCTCGGAGGAACTCGTGTCCCTTCTGAGATTCGAACCCGCGTCGCCCAGTGCTGCAGTCAGAGACGTTACCACTGAGCTATTCAGGCTCACGATTGACCTCCCGTAGGACTGTAGTGGATATTTTGATTTGACACTAGTAACTAGTGTGATGTGTCTAGTCCTCTCATTGGTGTAGACTGAATCTTTTCATTTTTTGTTGTCCGTTGTATAATTTTTCCAATCCTCCTGCATTACAAAAGACTAGAGATTAAGCAGTTATCCCCAGAGAATTAACAAATTCTTTACATTATTATTATCATTATTGTTATTACTGGTAGTAGTGTAGTAGTACTAGTGTCGGTATGATTGACATCAACAGTAAACTAAATACTCAATTGCATGACCTTATTTAATGATTTTTTTAAAAGCTTATTTCTACATAGTTTTCGCCTTCTAAAATTCTAGTTGAACAGATTCTGGGCAACGCCTATAAAGACAGGCAAAATCTATATGTATACACAAACAAATATTCGTTGCTTGTGAAAAGCGATTATTTTATTAATTGGAATAGTAATGTGTCATAAATATACTTTTACGGATCAATTTTTTTGAACCAGGAATGCTTGGTTTCTATTGATATGTCAGCTGGTACGAATGCTCCGACTACGTCTGTAGGGGTCAACGAGATGGTATCCAAGACGTACGTTTTCTCCTCGAGTCTCAGTGGGGACACTATCACTCGCTTGCATGCTAGTCAATCTAGCTGTCGGCTCCTATATTCTCTTTCCATTACAGGGAATCCTTGTCTCATTTTAGTAATTTTATATGGAATTTCAGTTGAAGTTAAACTACAGCAGCCATTCCAATATTTGACCTTTGACAACCAATTAGTGTTACAGATGGCGTAACCAAATCAAACGATGTCTTTCGTTTTTTTTTTGCTTACTGAGTTCTAGGAAGATCGATTATTTGGGTACTGTGAGAATAATGAATTAATTGGAGTTACTAAAACACGCATATTCTAGGGGAGCTTGGTAGGATAACTGTTCTTTTAGGAAGAGTAGGATCTTGGGATAGACTGAAAAACATAATGGGAAATATAAATATCTTTCAGAACACCATGATTTTTATTTATCTTTTTAACAATTTTGCAAATTTATATTGCTCCCTAATTCTGATTGGTTGATCAAGATCAATGGTAAGGTCGATCAGGGTGTTTGGTATAGTTTAACATTTCCAGATTTCAAGTGTATTCAAATTTTACTGTAGAATGGGGAAAGAAAGTCATGAAATAAAGCTATTATTGGGGCTACTATTAAGGTGTAAATTTTCAGATGTATATCTTAAGATCTATGCATTATAAAAAGATTTGATGGTTGCATTAACTGTAGGCATAAATACATAAGTATCAACTTTTGATATGTATTATTGGCTCTTTTTGGTTAACTTGATGTTCCTTCAAGTTGATACAAGTGATGACACATAAGGAAGTAAGCTAATAAGTAATTTGAATAAATAACTTCTTCCGAATTTAGGCATTTTATAACAGTTCATTTTTAGCTGTCCACGTATCAAGGCAGATTTCGTCATTTACCGATATCATTTAGAGAATCTGAGTAAACTAGGGAAAAATGGGTGCCTGTTAGGTCCTGCTGTGTAATTCCTCAGCAGTTAGAAGGCGCAATCCTATGGAAGACCGAATTTAGAACCTTTAGATTACAAGGTGAACCATTGTGTTTGTATCCAATTACCTGTGTACGCTAACATCTGTCACTTTGTTGTACAGAGCCACTGCTAGCCAATAACATCAACAAGGATCTGACTTCAAACTCGAATTGGTAGACCCCAAAAGTAACAACTTCTGATTATTAGAACTTCAGGAACTTTATCCTGCAGTTACTCACGGATCAGCAGTGGATTAATTTCTAAGTATTGGATTATGGGAATCTCAAGGTAGTTTTCATCACTGTCAGTTAAGGTGGACAATTTCTCTTGGGTCAACTTTTATCATTTTCCTGTACATTGTTTATGACAATCAGACTCCATACTAATTAAACAGTTTCTTGTATTCGATATAATAATTTGGTCTCGAATTGAGATCGGTTAGAGAACCATTAGAGAAATTGGGAGTACTAGGCGTCTATCTCATCCTAGTCTGGGACTCCTCAGGGGTATGCACCTATTGAGGTTTGAACCTAGGACATTCTGGTTACAAGGTGAGCTCGTAGACCATTCAGCCACTGGGACCTCATCCAATTACCCATGAATTCCAACTTCGGCCAATTCGTGATATATGTAGCTGAACAGCCGTCGAGCACTCCCAGATTTTCCATTGGCTCTCTAGCTGGTTTCAACTCGCCATCAAACTTGTAACCAGTCAAATCCATGCTAACCAACATTTAGTGATGTAATAATTGTTTTTTGGTTGAAAAATTCTTTTATATTTTTACATACTCAGACAAGGTAAAAGTCATGTATACGAAGATATTGTGATTTCCTCTGAAAAAAAAACAACAATAGAGTATCATTATGTGCGTTGGTGGCACAGCGGTTAGGACGCTCGCCGACCATGCATATGGTTTGGGGTTCGATCCCCGGCCGACTCATTCCTTTATCTCGCTAAGCCGGGAATAATGCTGGTAAAGAGGAAAGGTTGGGCGTGAGGCTAGCAACCCCATCCTGTAAAAATAACCACCACTGCTACAGAAACTTCAAGCCACTAGCTTGAAGCCCTATGTTCCACTGGGGAACGTGAAGGAGGAAGAAGAAGAGTATCACCATAGTGGTGTATACAATGTTTTCTGTTTTCTAAGCATCAAATTCACTCATATTTTAACGGCAAAAGCCAAGGGTCAGGGAACAGATAGCTAATTGAGAAGATCAAGAGATATTTATAGATTTTCATGTACATTATTGTCAGCAGAGAAGCAACGTTTTCTGATTGGTTGTTTTCTTGCCGAAGGTTATTCTGTACTGCTTGTGACCGTTTCTCGGAAAGATAAGCCATATATCTGCGAATCATATTTGCACACGTCATGTCTGCTGTGATTGGTCGGTGAGTTCCTCAAGGTTAAGCTTTGTTATTGTTTTTTCTCGTGACGCCGATTCGGGATGTAACACTGGTGTAAATTGCTGCCTACAATTTTGTCTTGCAGCCAACTCTCACTACAATATTACGTAATACCTATTGATTTTTCGCTCATAATTACGATCACTTATAATTTCATGATATCTGATATCTCTAGAATTGATAAATGTCTTTATTGTGTTCGAAATTCCTTTTTGTTTTTTCTGCTTTTTCTCTCTCTCTTACAGAGCAATAGCGGCTAGTTTAAATCTTGATGGAGCTGAAATACCTGTGACAAGTGCAGATGCAGCCTATATGAAAGCTTTAGAAGAATCACGTATTGAACAAGAATTGGAAGAGAAACGTCGTCGGGCTGAAGATGAAGAATTAGCCCGTATCCTTGAATTGTCAACTAAAGAAAAATGAGTTACAGTTCAGTTTATTGACTGTCTCTCTCTCTCTGTCATTCGTTCATTCATTCACTCACTCACTAAATCTCTGTTTCAGACTAATAAATACTAAATAACAATAATTGATGTAGTTCAACCTTTGTTTTATTGTGCTTAATCGTTTCATACACGCGAGCGCGCGCGCACACACACACACACATTGAATATGATATACACTTTATGCTTATATTTTTGTGAAAAGTAGTTAGACAGACACAAACAGAAAGACAATATTATGCAATGTGCTTTGCTTTATAATTTTTCAAAGCTTGTCCCTTCAAATCCTTCCTAATCTCTCGTGCTAACCGAAAAAGTATATACACATATATATTTATATGGTGGTTATATTTATGTTGTTATTTAGCTTTTATCTGCTAGTCACTAACTGCATATATACATACATATGCAGATTTACTTACTGTCAGTCAGGATGCCAATATGCACGTATGTATGTATGTCTGTGTGTGTGTGCCTTCCTTCCAGTTTAGAAGAAATGCAATAAAACTGATCATATTCAGGCAAATATACCAATATTGTCTCTTTGTACTACTTAATCACGCCTCCCCACCCCGCCAACCTTTTTCTTCTCTTCTCCCCTATACTGGTACACGTGTGAATATGCATTTTTTTTTAAAATAATAAGTAGAAAAAAAATTATTTTTACCTAAAATATAGTGCGATGATTCCACTGGTCAACAACATGACTTCTTCTTTTGTTTTTTTACAGTGCTTGTGTAATTCTTTCTCACTTGACATTACACCTTACCGTGTGTTTTTACAATAGAACCAATAGAACACCCAAGTACCAATCGATTGTGTGTTAGTTGATGCGTTTAGCAAAAGTGTTAGTGATTACAGGACATTGCATTCATTATATAGTAATAATATAACCTTGTTACTAACCTTTGATTTATTTATTATTGTATTTCATGATATTATTATTATTAATAATAATAATAGTAATTCTAGTCAAATGGCATGCATGTCAGACATAAAAATTAAATGCTTTCTTATTCTTTTGGTTGTTTCTTTTCTCTCTGTCTGTATTACTGTTTGTGATGAGTTGTTAGTCCTTGTAACTTCTCTGTAATTTGGTGATTTCATCGTTATTATTATTTCTATTATTATTACTGTTAATCCGTACATCGAATCTTATATGCGTGTTGTTTTGTTATTCTCTTCTATGTACGATTTTACAATAATCAATATACAATCGATTATTATGGAACTATCAAATAAGAGTTTTGTTTTGTACTTCTGTTTTCTCCATCAAATTCACTAGATTTCGAGATAGAGGAAGGTTGGTAGTTAAGTGGCGTTTTAAAAAGCGTTACACTGAAAATATATATATATAACACGAATTAATACAGTCAAATAAAGGTATGTATAATCCATCTGAAACTCTACGGATTGTGGTTACCAGGCATTAAGATCAAAAATTGATAATGATGATGCTGACTGCATAGGGTATATACATCCTTCTTCATATGGTTGAAATTTTTAAGACGGTCGTTAGTATATTTGGTAATGAAATTCCATGAATTTGATAGATATCAGGTTGAATTTCACTGCACTAACTCTCGACTCATTTCATGTCTTTGTCATCTTATACGGTTATCAATCCATCAAGTCGAGGGAATACTACTGTTAATCTCTTGTGGACAATATGGACAACTATCCTAAACGATCTCAACTGAAAACATTTCTGGTGCGTTTATTAGCAGAAATAAGATAAATAAATTCCTTACATATAAGATCTCAAATGTAACTGTTCTATGAATACATTTTCAAAATTTATGTATGGCTCAGTGGATCCACCTCAGAAATTGATAAAGATCCATTTTAGACTACATTTAGGACATACTGTTATGCATATATATATATATATATATATATATATATATATATATATATATATAATTAGTGCCTTTGGTAAATTTGAATAAGGCATTTAGAAGACAGATTTCAGGAGATAATATCATTTTGAAGTTTTCTTAACAATCGCTTTACAACAAACATAGTTCACAATAATAAAATAAAATGCATGACAATTACTCAGTTAGATAAAACAAAAGTACATACTAATGACTAGTCATATTTAAATAGGTCAAGTAGTCCATAGTAGGCTAAGGTTGAAGTCTATTGTATTTTGTACACATAGTTTATTTATTTTTTTATTTTTGATTGCAGCTTGATTCCACACTGTATTTTTGGTGCAAGTATAGAATTATCAGCATGGATATCGGTAGCCCAAATTTTGCAGGCCGACCATAGATATCAGGTGTGCGTCACCCAGGGCTCGAACCTCGGACCATGTGCATGGTCGGCGAGAGTCCTAACCGCTGTGCTACCGACGCACAATAAAAAGAAAACTAAAAAAAAGTTGTTGTGGACTAAACAGCTAAGCTCATTTATACGCGAAGAAAAACGACAAAACAAATACAAAGATTTATGTATGTAGAGAGGAATTCAGTCCACACAAATTAAAATACATATAAAATACAGTTACCTGGTGAATTATAATTGTCTCAAAATACACAAGTAAAGACGTACAGAACTGTAGTGATGAAGTATTCCTTTTAGGTATGCAGTTGTTCACTCCACGGAAGAGTATATCAACAGCCCGAGGGTACTTGCAGAAAGAGGAAAGGAGATTGAAGCGAAAGATACGAGTCTGGATGTACGGATTAGGTATGAGCCAGAGATGACTGGCAATTGTGAAAAGCAAGAAACTGGATAAGGGAAGTTGTGTCGCCCGCACTGCTCGGTGAACCAAGTGGTGTCCTTATTCAATATCAATTAATTAACCATGATGTGCAGTGAATTCACTATTTTTACTATTTTACAATGAACGCATAATTTGAAATTTTTCGGCCTCCACAAAGTGAGTTAAGAAACACAGTCCTAAATATTTGTAAAATAGTAGCAATGGATTGATTAAAAGTGTCTTAAGTGAACACATTCTCAAAAGGGGTTACTTAGCCTCAGCAAACTGAGATATCTCTCAAAGATTGTAGGTATTTATGGAGAAGCACACTGTATTCACACAGAAGCAGCTATTTTAATGTTAATTTTAATTTTTGATATTTACTTAGCAATACTGACTGTAATATCAAGTTATTCACTCTAATTTAGTTCTGTCCACCTCACACTGTCTGTTTTCGACATAGAACTTTGCACCAATGTGCAGCAGTTCAAGTCGCCACACTCCCTCCTTGTAGCACACAAACCGAGAGAAGAAAGTAGAAGAAATGCATAAAAGAGACAGTAAACAGAGGTGTGAGACAAAGAAATAGAAGTAATGGAGAACAATGTAGTTTCATTGGAAATCATAAGTCTTGAAGAGTGGATGCATCTGCACCAGCCATTGAGAACGATTTTGAGCCATATCACCAATTGTTTCCAACCATTGGTTTTTACCGTCCCGAGGACCCCAACCAGCAAGTCTACACCTTCCTATGTGGCTTAGACTATTTGTTGTAGATTTCATTGACTGGTGCCATGTTTCGGTTTGACCACCGCTAGCTCTTTTCCAGCCTGACCCTATATCAGCTAACATCATCTGTCGGTCGAGGAAGGCGATGACTAGGTATACGTAACACATGTCCTAACCATCTCAGTAGATGTAATTTCACAGCCTCGTCGATTGATTTCCCCTGCTTACCTAGAAATTGACTAATGCCTCACCTCAATATTGCTCACCTTATTATACCACTTCACACGGGAGATAGAGCGCAGGCACCTATGATCAAAGACAGCTAATCTTTTCATGTCTTACCCTGTCAATGACCAGGTCTCACAGTCATAAAGGAGGACCACCTCACACACATATGATATCCATTCATCTTCCTTTCAATACTCTAAATTATTACATTTGATCCTCTAATTGATGTAAACTTACTCATTTTAATTGATTGAATGAGGGCACATTAAACCATGACTAGAGTGGTGGAAACATTTCTTTATATAATATACTATCACTTTATAAGGTAACTCAGTTTAAATCGATTTATGAGTGTATTTTGATAATCGTCTATTTTGATAAATTTGACCATATTTTACAAAAAGTCTCCTACAATTATTTCTTCTCGATAATGGGTTCAGTTGTGATTCAATTTTTTAAAGTCACTTTGTATGGATTTGATTTTTTTTCAGGTTAGGTCATAGACTGATTTCAGTTAGAGAACCATCGGGAGTAATGGCAAAGACTCGCTGATGACACTGACTGATGGGCACGTTAAACTCACGATTTGATTGAGCTTAGAATTCATAGGTCACTGAATCGGCTCCTGGTGGCTGAATGGTCATTCAGCTTTCCTCACAACTGAAATGTCATGAGTTCGACTCTTGATGGTTGTGTGCTGATGAAGAGTCCTAAACTATGTCCAAATAGTTGTCAAGTACTTCGTGGTTTTCAATGGTTTCCTAGTTGATATAAGTTTTTAGTCGAACTATTATTCTATTATTAGGTATGAAAAAAATATTAACTTTAAGTTGTAGAGTCACAGGATTAGATCATACGGTAAAAATATCGAAAGAATGTTCTTCCAAGGTATTAACTGGTTTTGCCTTAATTCATTTCTCATATATATATATAATGCAGAAAAAGTTCTTCGTAAATTATACCGTACAAACATTGAGAATTGGAAATATCATTTAATTTGATAAAATTGATAAACACGTTGAAGATACAATCTATTTTGAATCCTGCGCTGGGCTGAGTTAAACACTAGGCGTCATAATTTAAAATGATTTACAACAATAAATTGAATATGTGATAATCAATAAAAGATGCATTTATACCAAATCCTAATCGATCGTAAATAATCAGATGCTAAACTAAGCGACAAAAATATATTTTCAAGTATGCAAATGAATACTGTGTCCTGTATTAAGAGGGAAGGTTTGTTTTCGTAATTTGGACTTAGATAAAAGTAATGAGAAAACGTGGCGGTAAATAAACTGCATCAAATTTACATATTCATTACGTAATTCATTTCCCATTCCTCTGTGTTTACCTAAAAAATAATCCTTTATCAGTAATCAGCTTGTATCTATCTTATACAAGTTTATGCATACATTGCAACAATAATTGAAGCGAAAGTGCTCTTTGTTTTGCAGTGATAAAAGTTCTTTCATCAGGAAACATACGAGAATAAATTAGACAGAAAACCAGAGATAATACAGGCTAGACAAAGACACCGGTGGGTGCGTACTGTTGAAGAGTCCCAAACTAGGATGAAACAGCTGTCCAGTACTCCCAGCTTTTCCAATGGTTCTCTAACCAATGTCAGATTATGATGAAATTCTGTAGGCTACAATTAAGGGAGGATTTGTCTAGTGAAATTTCCTTCCAAAGACTATTCAAAACCAATACGGAGAACATTTTACTCTGCAAACTTGTGTTTGTCATTTTTTATTCGACGAATGATGATAACTCCTGCGGAGACAGTTATATTCGATGTACTGCTAAATGATTTAGTCAGTGCTGCCACTGAACATCTTCCATCATGCTTTGGTAAAAGACGAATAAAAATCATCTGAAGCTATATCTTGTCGAATTTAGTTGATATACGTCACTCGGTCGACAGAATGAAAACATTTAAGGTTATTTACAGCATCCTATTGAATCTTTCCAATGGTCTTCGTATTTGCCTACTGTACACAACTGAGGTGATTGTTATTTGAACGATTAAAGCAAAACTATGCATTCAGAGTATGTTGGTAGAGCCATTATCCCTCCTGTGACCAATAAAGACTAAACCAGCTGACTGGACCGTACCCATTCGCTATATACCATTCATTCGTTTCTTAACAACTCTTCGTTAGAAAGTTTCATTGTGAGCTGACATCAGTTAAAGAACCACTGGAAAACAAATAGGGAGTACTGGACAGATGTTTCGTCCTATTTTGGGACTCTTCACCGGCACGCACCCACACTGCTTTGTTCGAACCCAAAACCTTCTGGTTACAAGGCCAACGAGTTTGTGGACCATCAAGCCATTGGGTCACGATCCAAAGGCCAGCCAGTGCCTGAATTCTAACTTCTGCAGCTTGATGGCATACCTCGACCACTTCTCAATGTCTCCTTCAAAGAGTTATTGCCTCACCTTCAAACTGTTGTACCCTTCCGGTCACGGCTTCCCACCAAAACCTCAGATTAACTGCCTGAATAGGGTCAGTCACTAGTGAGTCTCAGATTAAATTTTCAAGTTTTAGTTTTAT